TTCTCAGAAGCCCTCGCGCCTTCTGGTAAGTTTTTTTGTTTCTGTCTTCGCAGAAGGCTCAGAAAACTTCTCAGAAGGCCGGGGGACTTCCGAGCCTTCTGAGAAGGCCTTCTCCTTCTCACTTCCCCCCCTCGCTCGCCGCATAGAGTCGATCCCCAGGTTACCTGCTTGCAAGACAGGGAGGGCTGTGACGCCTTTCGCCTGAAGGCTGGTGGAGATCTCACGAGCGTCGCGGTGATGCGAGCAAAGAAGAACGCTCGCGGCGGCGATCCGAAGACCGGCGGACTCGAATGCCTTGCTCGTGTGAGTTGTGACTTGAATCAAACTCTTCTTGCCAAAAGATCTAGGGCCAACAACATACTGAGATAAATCCTCGATCCACAACCTCATGTCGACCATCGGGCTCCCCTTTGTGACAGCGCCGAAAGTGTAGTACGTCATGCATCTGGCGAACCTGGTATCGCTGCGCAATCCTTGTATCACACTCGCCGTGGGCTGGAACGCCTCTGAGAAACAGTCTGTTGAGCCAATGCACTAGGTCCGGGGCAGAGTTGAAGATCCAGGAAAGGTGCGACTGGGGGAATGCCCAGTGACGGGGCTTTGGCTGCCAGAGCAATCCACGAAATACGATCGTAAAAGGATTGAGTAGAACTAAGTCCGTGACCGAAGGCGACTCCTATGGCTGATTGAATATTTTCTCCCACGATGCGAAGAAAGCATTCTCTGAGCCCTGAGTTTCCTGGCACTGCCGCTCCCCAAAGTGGCTTGGAGTCGCATGTCCATTCTTTGACCCACTGGTCCCTCGCAAGGGGCCATATTCTGGATACTATGGCAGTCGTGCCAATAGAACGATCCCCTCCATTCTTCTGAGCCAGAAGACGGCCAATGATTAGTAACAACTGCCACGGTCGGGTCAAACGAGATTCAACTGCATTGAGAATGTCGGCCGGTTCGTCGAGGCCTTTAGGTGGAAGGCGTTCTATGCTGGGAGGAGGGAGTCGGTCCACGCCGTGACCCGCACGAGGGCGCATCAGATGCGCGGCGGCGCGGATTTCAGGGCCCGCGAGCACCGGAAGGGCCTCTTTTTCTGCGCCCTCGCGGATGCCGTCGAATGTGAGAAACAGTTCATCTCGATCTAAAGGCTTGCTACACCACAGGCGGTGTTCATTGCCCACTTTGCAATCGATCACATCGTTGGGGTGGAAAAGCATTTTGCCTTGCAATGCCAGGGCTGCCCCTGAGGGACCGATGGAGTGTAGGTAGGGCCGTCTCCGAAACCATCCAAGAACGATATTTGCCAAGAGATCGATGTAAGGCGCAACCACAAGCGCGCCGACGCGCGCACTCAGCTGCCTCCGCCGTAGCTGACAAGGTATCCGTAGATGTGTGAAGCGTGTCGCGCATGAAACTGATCCATTGCTGCCAGTCACACTTCTCGCTGACCAAGGTTAGCACGATCGACGGGTAGTCACCGATCAGCCTGAGAGAAGCCTCAGCCAGAGCCGCGCACTGCCGACGTCCATAGCCTCGTTGACGATGCTTCAAGATCCTGGTAAGGACCGCGTGGGCTCCCTCCCACCATGGAGACGCTGGCCACGATCCTTGACAGACATGCGGACCTTCCTTACCTGGAAGCTCGGACCCTCCTCGCTGCATCTCGAGAAATCCGGTGGAGTCTGACAGCGGTGATCGTAAATCGTAGCCTCCAGCGTGGTGGCCCATACTGCGAACATACCGCTAACTGCCATGATATGCCGCGCTCCAACAAGAAAGGCGAGGGAGTCTCTGGCCACCCTCCACGTACATTTCGCAGAAACAAAACTAACCTGGGCGCGATGATCCCGCCAGGATGTTGACGGACTGTGGAAATGAGGGGGAGGCGGCGAGGGGGCAGCAGGGGCACTAGCAGGGATCCTTGCGCGAAGATCCGAGGGGCCGTAAGACCTACCAGAGTCATAAGTATGAGTGCTAGCAGGCTGCTGCTGAGCGGGCCTCTCCAAGGGCTCATCTGGTGGCTGGGGATGGGCCACCAGGCTAGCAGGGTCTAAACGAACGGGCTGTCCTCCAGACTGTGGGTTCGCACAAGCGCTAGTCCGCACCCTATCGCGAGCCCCGAAGATGCCCTGGCTAGCCCAGGTGTCCTCCTCCTCTCCAGGCCAACCCAGGTGATTGAAATCCTGACGTTGTTCGGGGTGAGACGGGGACGCAGCGCCCTGACCAAGCAATCATGTCCCGCCTTGCGACGAGGACACCACATCCCCAACCAGTACAGCACAAGTTGAATGCATCTTCTCGCGAGAAATAACAAACTGCCCCTCCACCTTAGATGTCGACGACTTCGAGCCAGGAGACGGAAGGGAGGAGGGTCGCGGAGCTTGCGGCAGCTTACGGGTTGAGAGAGGGATCGAGTGAGCAGCTGCGCACATCAACCACATCACGAACGCTCAGAATGTACGGACAGAGACTGCTAGATGCGATTGCAAAATCACGCTCAGTGCCTTCAGACGTGGAGCTGGCGGTGCATGTGATGGACGTGTTCTCAGCCCTGGCGATGTGCCCGCCGACTCTGTGAACAAAACCGTGCTGCGTGAGGGAGGCCGAGGACATGTTCCAATCGGCGAACACGATCCAAGGTAGAGAACCAGAAGTGAGTAAGGCACCTAGCCGAGTACACCGTTGAGGGTTGCCACCGCACCAGTCTTCTCCTGAGTGCCCGTAGAAGAAGGCAGCAACGAACGAGTAGCTTTTCATCTCGATGACCACCGCGCGGAAGCCGTCGAGCGCCTGGCGCCCGTCAGCTCGCAGCGCAGCCCGCGAGTCAGTGGCAATAGCGTGAGCGGCGCGGTGGCCTTCCAGAAGCCATTCCCCGCCCTCGTTGGAGCGGTGCTCGGTGTCCCTGATTGTCGCTCTTCCCGATGGCCTGGCTGGGTTCGCTGTCAATCGGAGTCCATCTGTCTTGGCGCCCTTGCAACGGTGATCCAAACCATCAGCGTCCACATGAAACTCTACAATGCCAGCGAAGTAGTGAACCCTGTCCTGTTGAGAAGAGAATGGGATGCCACATCTCAGGGCCAGCGCAAGTGACGTTGGCGACAGCCAGCGTGGACTGATCATCATCTGAAGTAGACCCCAGAGACTGCTGCGCAGCCTGCGCCGCAGAGGGGCCTCCAGCCCTGGCGGTCGTCGAACCAGTCGGACTCTCACGTGGGCCTGCAGTCGCTGTTGGCACCTCGCGCTGGGGCCGCGGCCGCCTCGTCGAGGGCGGCCGCTGCAGCTGCTGCCTCCGTGGGCCGCCGCGAGCCCGGCCTCTGGCCGCTCCTCCGCCGCAGCTGCGCGAGACGCTGCTGCTCAGCTGCTGTCCCGCCTGCGGCAGCACCTGCAGCCCCCTGAGGCAGGGGCCCCGTTGCCTTCGGCTGTGGGAACAAAAAGTGGCATAAACATAAAAACTCGGAGGTCCGCGCGGATTTCTCGGATCGGCGCTGGACCCCCCTCCCTGGCACGCGGAGCGCGCCAGGGGCGGCGCCGGAGGCGCCGCCGGGGGGCCCCAGCGCCGATCCGAGAAGTCCGCGCGGACCTCCGAGTCTTTATGTTTATGCCACTTTTTGTTCCCCTATGGGCTGGTCTGGCTGGCCTGCAGGTGACGCCTCGCCCTGGTCGCCCCTGCGCTCCTTGGCCTCCCTTTCCGTGATGGCTCTTCATGGCCGCCGTCTTTCCTTGCCACTGCTGCACCTCAGCGCGCGTGCTGCTGAGCATCTGCTGCGTGGAGCGCAACTGGTTCTCGAGCTCGCGCAGGGCGATGCGCTCGCTCTCGTCGCACCCCAGCTCGCCCAGGTCCGCGAAGAACTGCCCGTCTATCGTGAGCGTGAAGAGGTCGTCCTTGAACGTGGCAGGCTCGCTCTTCTCAATCTGCTGGTCGATCACGCCCATCTGCTGAGCTAGTGCGCGCGCTGCCTTGCTCCCGGCCTCGTCGGCCTGGGCATGCTCTAGCGCTGCGGCCAGCTCCTTGGCCTCGGCGTGCTCAAGGTTGTCTATGGCTGTGAGGGCCGCCGAGACCGCGTGGTCGTGCATCATAAAGGCCGCTCTCCAAGCTCCCGCCGTCTGGCGCACCGCCTCGTCGGGGGTCTGGGAGGGTTCGCCTCGGCCCTTCTTCTTTTGGATTTCGTCGCCCAGCAGTTTCTTGAGGAGGGGATCCGTGGACTCGATGTCGGTGGACGCCGAACTGGGGCTCCCTGCACCAGGCTTCGGACCCTTCGCCGTGTGAGCGTCTGGGATATCTGCAACTGGTTGCCGCTATTCTTGCCACTGGGATGGTACAGTGTGATTTGGCGCCCGCAGCCGTACCGCCTCCTGCCGCGGGACTCCAGAGCCGCGGTGTACTCGCATTTGCCACGTGTGGAGCACTTAGATCATGACCAGTTGTCCGTGTTGCCCATAGCCTTCGTCATTTTTCCCCTTTCGCTAATCAGAGCGTCTGCGCACTCGGGCAGCCTGGGTTCTGCTGCGCGCTGGCGCAGCAGGCTGGTTGCCCTCCCAAGCTGCCCACGCAGGTCGGGGTCGAGGAGTTCAGGTCGTTGTTCGGCCTGTGCTGGCCAAGTCTCGGGGGTCTTTTGCCAGAGCTTCTCCAGAGGCCCGCGCTTGGCGCATTAGCCTTCATCGCCTTCAGGAGCTCAGATTTCTGGTCCTCGCGGGGAAGACCGATAGCAAGGATGCCGATCACTTGTTCCAGAAGTTGTTGTCCTGGGCGGGTTCACCGCGCGCGGATTCTGAGTGGCAAGCGTTTCGGCAAGCTCTTCAGTTCCAGGGTTTGGGGCCCGGCCTTGATCTCGACCACCTCATTTCCCAGGTCACGTCTAACGCGAAGCGGCTGGAGTCCACGTTCGCCAAGAGCCGTGCTAAGCAATGGCGCCAGACCGTTGCGCGTGCTGTCCAAGGGGGTGGGGGCCTTGCTCATCGCGTGTCCCGGGCTCCCCTGGAATGGGTCCCCGACGCGTGCAGTCCTCATGCTGATGGAGCCCCAGCTGGCACAAACGCCATAATACACGATTTGGAAGTGGAGTGGAAGGAGATTTGGGGCTGGAAGGGCACGGCGGAGGAGCAGGAGAGAATCGAGCAGGTTCAGGACCTTATCTCACAGCTCGACCTTCCTCCACCAGCTGAGGCCCCTTCGCCCGATCGCATTCGTTCAGTTCTCCAGCGCTTTAAGAAGCGGACTGCTGTCGGCGCTGACGGTTGGCACCCTCATGTTTTGTTGCAGCTTACCGATGACGGCCTCGAGGCTCTGGGCCAGCTGCTCTTCCAGATTGAAGTGTTGCTCACCTTCCCGTTCCAGCTGTGGAGAGTGATTATCGGCTTCCTCCTCAAGCCTGAAGGTGGGCGAAGGCCCATCGGGATTCTCACTACATGCTGTCGCATTCTAGGTGCCCTCCGCCGCGGTGATGCAACCGATTGGGAGTCCAGGTATCCTCGGGAGTGGGCATACGGGGTTCGTGGGAAATCCTGTGAGCAAGCTGTTTGGAAGCAAAGCGTGGTCGCGGAGTGGGCCCATCATCATAAGCAGGCGTCGGGTAGCACTCTCACTGACCTCCAGAAGGCGTACGAGCTGGTGAACCACCCCCGTTTGATCCACAGGGCCCAGGAGCTCAAGTTCAATCTCAGGCGCATCGCTCTCTTGATTATCATGTATTCGGGGCCGCGTGTGCTACAAGTGGGAATTTACGTTTCGGACGCCCCCTTCCGGGTCTCGCAGGGGATCATCGCCGGTTGCGCCTTTGCCACCATGACGATAGACCGGCATGGGCGGATAGGCGATACACTACGGTGCCGTTCAACGACAATGTCGATATCTACGGGATGGAGATAGAAGCTGGATCTCACATGGAATAGCTACCGACCTATGAAAGCATGAAGAAAGTGATCGATGCGATCGAGAAAGGGACGACAATGTTGTTCATGGCGCAGACGCGCAAGAAGGCTGCGCCGAAGATAAGCACAGCAAAAGTGTCTGCCGCTGCAACAGCAACGTCCGACGGTCCGGGCACTATTGGCAAGCCTCTGTGGGATACAATTATCCAGAGCGTCCTGCAACATCCGACCATAGAGAATCGCGTGGAACACATAGTCTGTGTTTTCGGGCAGGTTAGGGTGCAACGCCCCGACTTCTTCAACGCGTGCGAGGAGCATCAGAAGGCAGTGGTAGTCGGCACAAGAGACGGATCTGACACTCTGCTACCGATCGAGACGACATTTGATCAGATTCAGGTCGTCGATTATGAACTGATGCTTGTACCGCGTGAGCCCGAAAATAGGATAGAAGAATTCTACCTAGTCGAATCGTTTTTCGACGCTGATGAGTGGTATAAAACGTCGAAGGGATGGGTCGCTGCTCGAGATTGGGTGGCGAAGAAGATGCGCCTCGAACGTTCCCCGCGAATCGCGGCATAATGCTGTGCAAGGAGAGCAGTCGAATACCTGGCACTGCGACGATTACACACGACGCACTTACCAGACGTATCGTGCTCTGCGTTGTTCGACTGGAGTATGGTGAAGTACGCTGAGAAGGAATCTTGCGCGGTGCTGGAAATTCCCTTCCGACTGCCTGATTGGGTCAATGACTTTACAGAGGTAGAAACATGCGAATCCTACTCGCGCGCCACTGATGTCTGCAAGCTCTACGCGATCCTGAACGCGAGTGTATTTCTACCTTCTAAGCTAAAATGGGGTGCGGGGGCGAAAACGGACAAGAAGAAAAACTATAAAGCTCCTGCCGAGGGAGTATATGCGTTCAATGAAAGCGAGTCGATCCACCACCTTCACCAGAGTTACAGCCATTGTGCGGAGCTCTGGGATGATGGCAACATCGTTACCGTGGACTTCAAGCTCGCTTCCCCACCGGCTATGCGAGGAGGTTTCCGACCGGTCGATTCGGAGTCAAAGGGGCGAAAACAATGCGTGTGCAGTACGCGAGAGCTGATTGTCAAGCATTCGTCACGGCTGTATGTTATGACACCATGTCAGGCAAGTCAGCAACAAGTATGGGTCTTCAACTCGAAATATTCACGCCAATTTGAGGTTGATTTCAAGGCGATGGTAGATCCCCCCCCCCCTGACTTGGAGCAAGGCGTGGCGATGTCGCAAATCAACGACATGATTCGAGACCAGCTAATAGCTGAGAAGCCCATCGGACCAATAGACATTGGAAACGTGGAAAGAGAAATACAGAGTCGCTATTATACGACAACCCAGAGAGAGATTCTTGAGGAGCTCCGGGAGATCAGAAGGAAACATGTGATGAACTTAGATCTTGGGAGCTGGGAGTACCGCTTTCTGTATTCGGAAGATTTGATTACTGAACAGTTCGACAGGCCGATCCTGGTGGCCGATGACCAACGGGATATCGCTACGCCGCTTGACAAGGCTGGTCTGTCGCTAGAACGCCCGAGTCTGAGGACAGTGGAGGTGGATATGTCTACGCCAAGGATTTCAATGCGCGATTGGATGGCCTTCCGAAGCTAGCAAAAGGATGAGAAAGCTCCGGGAGAAGCCGGTCCCTCAATTCTGGACGATGTCCCTGGCAGAACCGAGCCCCGCCTAGTCTGGCGGGGAACTAGGCAGGCCATGATACAGGAAGCGGCGATTGCGTGGCGAGAGGCGCAGTCGTGCGGTCGGCGTTCAGGCTGGGGTCATATCGGGCATGCTGGATTCAAGCGGTCGCACACGGCTGATCGCAAACAGCCGCGCTTCGAAAACCCCCACGGGACGCCGCTCACGCAGCCCAGAGATCCGGGGTTCGGAGCCCCAGAACATCAGCCCCCGACGATGTCGAAGGAGAAGCTTGAGAGAATGAGGAACGTCTACGTCATCACGTCTCCGGCTGCCTCCCGCATCGAACAGGTCTGCAAATGTTCGAACATTGGATGCTTCAGGACGACCAGGATGGTCGTAACCCAGGGTTCGAAGCTTCACCTGGTGCGAAGGCGCTGCAGATGCATGGATTGGCCCCCGACAGCCATGCACCTGGATCGATGCGCGCCAAGGTGCCGAGATAGTCGGACGCCCACCACGAGAGGGCCAAAGCAGAAATAATAGAGCATGAGAAGACGGAATACGAAAAGTGGTGCAGGAAACAGATCATGGCCGTAACTGTCGATGAGTCCGACGAATCCTCGCCTGAAGTTGAAGAGGACAGAGCTGGACTTTGTGGCTGATCAAGAAGGTGAGCATACCGACGATGTCGATGATGTATCTGACAGGGAAGAAGAGAGCGCGGAAGCAACCGGACTGGAACTTGTTGCTGCGCTACAGATCGACCCGCAGACTCGTCCGTATGTTCCTGATGGGGAACGCCATTCGGTAAGCACTATTTCCTCATCGACGGTAACCTGCCGCTTCCCAAAGAGAAGCAGACATCAGAAGAGGATATGATGACACTGTGGCCGTCGCATGAGGATATAGGCGGGTTAGCCCAGATCGGACTCGAACACGAAGAGCTGACCTATGAGGGGTTTCTCGCCAATGGCGAAAGAGTCCCTCTTCTTGCATCGCCAGGATACCGTCGGAACAAAATTTCTGCACTGACCCCTGGGAAAGCACGACTGATAGATGAATTACACAGCAACGGGCCAGGTGCCCCCTAGCCAGCGAATGGGCCGGGCGATAATAAGTGATCGGCTATCCGCCTATGCGGACTTCGTGGCTGACCCGCTGTTGGATTACATCAGGCACCTGTCAGAGGCTGAGCGTGCCAAGGTAAACAGATATTTGCGCGCTCGGTATAACACGATCGAGAGCCGCAGTTTGCCTGGATCAGACAATGCTCTGGTGCCGATGTATCCACACTTACGCCCGAAGCTATATGCTATCGCGAGCGGGCTGGGCCGCGGTGAAGCATTCCGTCTTGCAAAGCTCACTCCTCACCTCCTTCGACACAGTTCAGCTATGTGCTGAGTTCGGGAGGATGGGTGGAAGTGGACGTACTGATAAAGATGCTCACTGATGCCGGCTATGATCGCCCGTGGGCCCGGTGTATGCATGCGGTCGCGACGCTTTCACCACGCGAAGTACAAATGCTGGGAGTGGAGATAAATGCGGCCCACGAAGGCCCCACTTCCCGTCGAATGGACTGGGGCTCGAGCTTCCATGAAAACACCAAGAAAGGGTTTGGAGCCTCCGAAATCGACGGAGACACTGACTCGTCCCAGGGAAGCGATGTGGAGAGGTTATATATAACTCCGACAACACGACCTCTCCTGATCAGGGCAGCATCACAGAAACGTCGGATACGATCCTGGCATGAGCGAGAAGCACGGTGCACTGCTGATTCCGTTGACTGACGCTGACGTACGACACAGTCAGGCTGGGGCGATAGCCCCGCTCTATGACGTGACGACTGGTATCAGGCAATATGGCACTGTAGCATACACGGTGGCAATGTCCCCAAACGCGCATGAGGTCCATGATCTTGACGCGCTGACGCCCAGGGAGATACATGTCCCGTTTAGCTTCTCGGAAGCCAAGCAGTCAATAGAAAGAGACGAACGACGCATCCGCCAGGCAAGCGACGACATATTCCTGACTTTTCTTCACCAGGACGGGGCTTCTAAGGATTTCCTAGGTCGGACTAAGCGATCAGTGCTTGACGTACATTTGAAGGACTTCAACGGCAAATACTTCGCCACCGTGAGTGCACGACACCTAGAGGCGCATCAGCATTGGATTCTGCCAACGGGCCACATATTTACGGAGAATGTCCTGTTACGGGGTGGCATTTGGCAGATCTTTACGTTTTCCGAATCGCCTGGCAACGAGCTGTCATGGCACGTCACTTATGACAGACGGCTAACAATGGTTCAAGTCGTCACCCGCGCCAAGACCGGGTGCGTCGACGTGCTGGAGTCAAAGCAGCAGATCCGAGCAGGACACAATGTTAGTCCTTTTGACGCAGAGCTCGCTGCTGAAGTTCAGCAAGCACCAGGCTGGGAAGACGATCTATGCCTCGTGTGTCACATGGGGCACAAGCCGAGGTACGGCATGATAGGATGTGTCGTTTGCCGTGAAGGGATCACATATGAGGCATCGATGATATCTGGTGACAAGATGAAGCCAGCGATTGACTGGAGAGCCGCAGGGTTCCTCAGAGACCGAGGGGACCCAGGCCCGTACCATACACGTAGAGACGGCCGGACAATGTCCAGGGCAACAGTTGTTAAGAATCTTGATCGCACACAAGCGCGTTATCGCGAGGGATGGAGAAAAAGGATACCTACGACGGGGCCATCATGCGATACTATGCCGCTATGGCGGGCTAGACGGCAACTCTGTCCGCCGAAAGATCGGTGTTCGCATGTTTTCCAGCATCGCCAAATGACAAGCGCCCTGCCCATGGCAACAAGGCGCGAGAAATCAAGGCACGCAAGCTGGCACATCGATGGATGTCGTATCAGGTATATCACCGCTGCCCGCCAGCTGGACAATATGCTGTCTGCCCGCCATGGAAATTGTGGGCATATCTGACCCGGCGCATAGACAAGACGGACTATGGTACATATATGGGAGTACTGAACATCTTTGAATGGGACACGATGGACCTTGATGCCATTGGTCTCACTGAGCCTACCGTAGGATGGCGTCACTGGTGTTACGAGAATGAAGATTATCTCCCAGAGCGCCTCGACAGTCTCTTGAATTCGATTGAAGACGAAATCGAGGAGTTCTGGAACCAAGAGAAGAGTTGGCCGCCCCAGAAGATGGAGGGAACAGGGCTGTGCGCCATCGAGACGCGCGTGCACCCCGTGCTCCCTCCGTTAGGCCAAGATCGCGCGCCCCAGGTAGGCGTGCCCGCTCCAGCAGCCAGCGAAAGATTCGGTCCGCAGGTGCGCCGATGGCGTTCAGGGGCCGCGCAATGCGCAGGCGAACGGGATCGCGCACACCCGGCAGGGGCCAGAGCACATACCAGGACGACGTGACGAGCAGGGTCAACCAGTACCGTATCAGACAGGCAGCCTATGAACTGGTGGCGTTCTTCACCACCGTTAGCGTCTCTCCCACGCATCACAAAGCGGACGCTTGCGCTTCATGTGAAGAACAGCTAGGTGCAATGTGGAGTGATCCGCCACGGCTCTGTGCTTATGACGCAGACCTAGGTGATGCAAGTGAGACATGGCTGGCTGAACCAAGCATACAGGGGCGACCATCGAAGTCTCGAAGGGTTACAAATGGACACTGGTTGATATGGATCACGCAAGTAATGATGCCAAATGCGTTCGTCGCGAAGAGGTGGACAGGTTCCGTGAGACACTCTCTCGGGAGCTCGACATTTAAGTCGCATCACGCGCTCGTTGAGTTAGTTCACAAGGACACATATATATGTATATACATATATATATATATATGAACCGGCAGGACTTGCCGAACATAGCAGATGACGCACCTGACATCGAGGCTTGCATGCAATATGTGCTGCAATCTCAGTCAGACGCACAGTTCCGCGGTCAACAGTTCGCAGTCGATGCGCTCAGGCATTCGGCGACTGAGAAGTGGGCGCTGCTCGTATATGAAGCTGCTGTCTACGCACTACAGGCGCGGGCGCAGCACGGAGTGCCACCACCCCATGACTCGGATGACGAGCGTCGCCCCTCACGCGTGCCAATGGCGCGAGGGGCTCGGACTCGCCAGCCCGCGGCGACCACCGCGCGGGCTGCGCGGTCAATCAGCAGGAAGCGGTCGCATAGCACTTCGCCGTCGCCACCCGCAAGGGTGACAGCGAAACAAGCGGCTGCACTTCCGCAGAACGAGGGTAGCAGGGGCAGTGCGTCAAGCGGCGCTGCTCCCCCCCCCCCCCCCCCAGATGCTACAGGCAAGGGCAAGGGCGGGAAACGACCGAGAGAGCCATGGAGTGATCGCACGGCCTCGCCGCCCGCTGTCCGCCCGTGCCTGTGCAGGGACTTCCGCCATGCTGAGTCTGGCGGCGCGGCGTCGTCGTCCCCCCAGCAGATTCCCGAGGAACAGCGCCGCCCCTGGGCCACGGGGCAAAGCCGAACCCCTATTGATAACGCCTGGAGTGCGCGGAGGGGCACCCCCAGCTGGGGCTGGAGCAAAGGGCCGGGAAAAGACCGCGGGAAGGGCGACTACAGCAACTGGTCCGATCGGCGCAATGACGACCGGGACCCGTGGCGCCGCGACAGCGGATGGCGCTGGTAAGCAACAGACGCCTAACGCCAATGGCGTGCTGGAGGCTGTGCCGGCGCAAGCGCTCCTAGCTTATCTTATCGCCAAAGAATGCGACAAGAAGCGCGCGTGGAAGGGCTCGAGGCTGTGGGAGCTTCGCCCCTCCATCAATACCTGCTATCACCGGCCAGTGGCCGTGTGATCAATGCCACTTGAACTGCGGGCTGCTGGCGGCTGTGAGAGCCTCGCGCCCGCGCGCACTGTAATTCGACGCCGTCGGGGACGAAGAGTCCCGATGGTAGAACGTCGGCCCTGGCCGGCGCTGCGGCCGGGCCGCCGCGGGGGGAGTCGTTGCCATGCGCTCCCTGCCGCCGTCGATGTATATATAACCACATACGCAGACACATGCTTGGCTGTCTGCAGCTATCCGCGGTTCGGAGAGGAAAAGGGCCCGCGCCCGCCCCCGCGCGCGCGCGCTCATACTGTATACTTTCCTTACCCAGAGCTGAACGGGATACACATATCCTTTTACATTCAACGATGTCCATTGACCCGCTAGCATGGACCCCAACAGTGAGGACTACCTTACTTGACGATATTGGTCTGGTTGGGCCTAAGTTGGGTAAAGATGGGAGGGGGAGGAGGAGGAGGAGGAGGAGGAGGAGGAGGAGGAGGAGGAGGAGGAGGAGGAGGAGGAGGAGAGGAGGAGGAGGAGGAGGAGGAGGAGGAGGAGGAGGAGGAGGACGGGGGAGAGGAGGAGGAGGAGGAGGAGGAGGAGGAGGAGGAGGAGGAGGAGGAGGAGGAGGAGGAGGAGGAGGAGGAGGAGGAGGAGGAGAGGAGAGGAGGGAGGAAGGAGGAGGGGGAGGAGGAGGAGGAGGGAGGAGGGAGGGAGGGGAGGGAGGGAGGGAGGGGCGGAGGGAGGGGGCGAGGGAGGGAGGGGGGGAGGGGGAGGAGAATAAGGAGGAGGAGGAGGAGGAGGAGGAGGAAGGAGGAGGAGGAGGAGGAGGAGGAGAGGGAGGAGGAGAGGAGGAGGAGGAGGAGGAGGGAGGGAGGCAGGGAGGGAGGGGAGGGAGGGAGGGAGGAGGGGAGGGAGGAGGAGGAGGAGGAGGAGGAGGAGGAGGAGGAAGAGGAGGAGGAGGAGGAGGAGGAGGAGGAGGACGAAGAGGAGCGCAGGAGGCAGCATCCCCCCGAATGCACTTCCGTTCGCTGCTCCGCAGATCGAGCGGCCTGGCTTGTCGGCGTGGTTCCACCAAGGAGCTCTGTTCCAAGAGTCGGCGCACCACTTTCAATACCGTGCCGATGCTGCCTCCCTTCGCCCCCCTCCGTCCATGCTACCATCCTACCATCCCGTCCAGGAGCGCAGCGCCCCTCACTACAGGTCTCGCTTCGATTCCCCCGGCTCGATCCGGTTCGCTTGCATTCCAACGGATCCCGATGCCGATTCGATTCGGTTCGGGATTCCGAATCGGATTGCCCGAGTTCTCAGGGGAGGCTCACTGACCTGCTGTTTTCTGCCGGTTCGGCTTCCCCGCTCCGATTAACTTCGATCGCCGATCCGATTTATCGTTTCGGTTTCGGGCTTTCCTGCCAGTGAGGCTCGCCTGGCGGGGTGCCGCAGGGCAGCCTTCGACGATCCTCACGACGCGTGTGAGCCCAATGTGCGCGCTGCCCCGTTCGGCCTCGCCGAGGGCACGCAGACTGCGTCGGCCCCCACTGCACCGCCTGCGTCGCATTGGAGGGCTTCGGAGGACAAGCACGCGCTCGCGCCAGCCCACGTCCCGAAGGTCGTCGAGGCCCGCCGGCTGGCCTCGAACGCCGCCGCCGTCGTCGTCGGCGGCGGCGTCGTCGTCGGCGTCGTCGTCGTCGTCATCGCCGCCGCCGTCGTCGTCGTCGGCGTCGTCGTCGAGGCCCGCTGGAGCCGGGACCTCCAGGCTCGTCCTCCTCCGTCCTCCTTGGCCCAGGGCGAGGCGGGCAGAGCGGAGCCGCCTCATTTTTTTAGCTTCAGACGAGGAGCCAACCGGAGCCAACACGACGACGACGACGACGACGACGACGACGACGGCGGCGGCGACGACGACGGCGACGGCGACTGCGACGACGATGACGACGACGACGACAACGACAAAACGACGGCGACGACGACGACGGCGACGACGACGATGACGACGACGACGACGACTGCGGCGACGACGACGACGACGACTACGACGACGACGGCGACTGCGACGGCGACGGCGACGGTGACGGCGACGGCGACGACGACGACGACGACGGCGGCGATGGCGATGGCGACGACGACGACGACGACGACGACGACGACGACGACGACGACGGCGACGGCGACGGCGGCGGCGGCGGCGGCGTCGGCGCGACGGGGGCGGCGGCGACGGCGACGACGACGGCGACGGCGACTGCGACGGCGGCGACGACGACGGTGGCGGCGACGACGACGACGGCGGTCGAGGCCGGGGAGTCGGCGGGTGCACGCCAGCGGGCCCAGGTGTCCACCGCGACCGCCGTGCATACCATCCCCGAGGCGCACGGCCAGTACGTGCGGGTGCTCGCGTGGGACCCCTTCCGCGAGATCTTGATCTCCGGAGGAGGGTGTCGATTGGGGCAACGAGGGAGGCAACGAGGGAGGAGGAGCAAAAGGAGGACGAGGAGGAGGAGGACGAGGAGGAGGACGAGGACGAGGAGGAGGAGGATGTGGAAGAACGAGGACGAGGAGGACGTGGAGGACGAAGGGGAGGAGGGAGAAGCAGGAGGAGGAGGAGGAGGAGGATGAGGAGGATCTCGAGGAGTATGATGATGATGATGATGATGATGATGATGATGATGATGATGATGATGATGATGATGATGATGATGATGATGAGGCTGAGGCTGAGGCTGAGGCTGAGGCTGAGGCTGAGGCTGAGACTGAGGCTGAGGCTGAGGCTGAGGCTGAGGCTGAGGAGGAGGAGGAGGAGGAGGAGGAGGATGAGGATGAGGATGAGGATGAGGATGAGGATGAGGATGAGGATGAGGATGATGTTGATGTTGACGATGATGATGATGATGATGATGATGATGATGATGATGATGATGATGATGATGATGATGATGATGAGATGAGGATGAGGATGAGGATGAGGATCAGATGAGGATGAGGATGAGGATGAGGATGAGGATGAGGATGAGGATGAGGATGAGGATGAGGATGAGGATGAGGATGAGGATGATGATGATGATGAGATGATGATGATGATGATGATGATGATGATGATGATGATGATGATGATGATGATGATGATGATGATGATGATGATGGGGAGGAGGAGAGGAGGAGGAGGAGGAGTATGAGAAGGAGATGAAGAAGGACGTGGAGGAGGAGGAGGAGGAGGAGGAGGACGCGGAGGAGGAGGAGGAGGAGGAGGAGGAGGAGGAGGACAAGGAAGAGAGGAGGAGGAGGAGGAGGAGGAGGAGGAGGAGGAGGAGGAGAGGAGAGGGGGGGGGAGGAGAGCACGTTCAGATGGTGAAGAGAGGGGGGAGGAGGAGCAGGATGAGGATGAGAAGGAGAGAAGGAGGGGGGAAGAGGAGGAGAATGAGGAGGAGGAGGAGGAGGAAGGAAGGAGAAGAAGGAGGAGGTGGACGAGGACTTGGAGGAGAATGTGGAGGAGGACGAGGACGTGGAGGACGCGGAGGACGAAGGGGAGGAGGAGGAGGGAGGCGGAGGAGGAGGAGGAGGAGGAATAAGGAGGAGGAGGATTCGGAGGAGGAGGAGGAGGGGGAGGAGGAGGAGGAGAAGAAGGACGTGGAGGACGTGGAGGGAGAGGAGGAGGAGGAGGAGGAGGAGGAGGAGGAGGAGAGGAAGGACGAGGAGGAGGAGGAGGAGGAGGAGGAGGAGGAGGAGGAGGAGGAGGAGTGACGACGATGGTTATGGTGACGGTGATTGTGATGGTGATGGCGATGATGATGGCGACGGTAATGGTGATGGTGATGATGTTGATGACGATGATGAGGAGGAGGATGAGGATGATGATGAACAGGATGAGGATGAGGATGAGGATGGGGAGGAGGAGGAGGAGGAGGAGGAAGAGGATGGATGAGGATCGAGATGAGGATGAGGAGGGGGAGGAGGATGAGGAGGAGGAGGAGGAGGAGGAGGAGGAGGAGCGGGAGGAGGTGGAGGGGGGTGATGATGATGACGACCACGATGACGATTATTATGTTGATTGATGTTGTTGATGATGATGACGATGCCGATGACGATGATGCTGCTGCTGACGATGCTGATGTTGATGACGATGATGATGGTGACGATGATGCTGATGATGATGATGAGGAGGATGATGATGATGATGATGATGGTGATTGTGATGATGATGCTGCTGATGATGATGATGGTGATGATGCGGTTGATGATGCTATGATGATTCTGATGAGGATGAAGATGATGATGAGGAGGATGATGATGATGCTGCTGCTGATGATGATGATGGTGGTGCTGCTGCTGCTGCTGATGATGATGATGACGATGCCGATGATGATAATACCGGTGGTGGTGATGATGATGATGATGAGGAGGAGGAGGAGGAGGAGGAGGAGGAGGATGTTGATGGTGATGTCGATGCTGATGCTGAAGCTGATGTTTTTGCTGAGGAGGAGGTGGCTGTGGAGGAGGAGGAGGAGGAGGAGGAGGAGGAAGAGGATTGTAAGGATGATCATGTGCGCTGCTTATGCGGATTCTGGGCTGCTGCTGATGATGAGGAGCAATGGATGAGGATGGACGGTGCTGAAGACGATGATGGCGACGAGCAGGATTCATGGAGTCATGCATCCAGGAAGTGCGCGGTGCACGCCACACGCAGGCGGTCCGCAATGGCAGGCAACCGGCACCCCTGGCCTCCCCTTTACGGGAGGAAGCGGGCCCGGAGGCGCGCGCACCGACGAACAGGGCATAGGCAGCTGCCTTGTCGCCCAGCGACTTGCCTCCAGCCGAGAGGGCGTGGCGCGTAGGGGGACGCTCAGCTCACCTCGTCACTGCGAGGTGCCTCCTGATTATCAACCCCTGCCCAATCAGCTGGCATGCGCAACTGTGTTTGTTCCCCATGGTGGGCGTGCGAAAAAGCCACCATGGGACTTACGGGCCACATGGCCCCGCCTCTCAACCAAATGCACAATCGACCGTGCTTGGTTCCCATCTCCAGGTCACGGAGCGTGGCTAGCGCTGCTGCCACGGGCAAAGTGCCACGTGGTTGGTTCAAAAAGGCGCGAGCCAGTTCAACTGCCCCCAGTCGCCGCATGCAGTCGACTCTGACGGTGTGCCCCGAGGAGTGTGTGGCGCTGACAGCACGAGAAAATGTTCCAGGTCCCCACCCTCGGGTCATGGCGACGAGGAGGATGATGCGGACGACAAGGAGGACGAAGAGCGGGATCAGGAGAACCAGGATCGAGCTGTCGACGTCTTTGCTTCTTCTGACTCCTTCCCCCGATCATTGTCACATCCATGGCGGTCGACGGCAGAGCGAAAAGGAACAGGGTCAGCGAGGGGCATCAATACCACGCGCAGCATCCCAAGCGGGAAACAGGCAGTATCCCTCGAGGCCCCCACATCATCCCAAAACAATGAGGATAATGGAATTATGCGTCTAGGGCGGATGAGGCAGCGGATGTCTCGGAGGCGCTGGATCCTTTGTGCTGGTGCGGGATCTGGCGCGTCGGGAAAGGGGGGCTTGAGAATCGGAACTGAGGGTCACCAAGTCCTGGTGTCTGACATCTCGCGCGCGCGCGCGTGCGCGTGCGCGTGCGCGTGCGCGAGCCAGCTCCAGAGGCACGCCGGCGGAACCGAGGTTGCGGTCGGACTCCACCGATGCGCCGTTTCATGGGGAGGGTGGTATAGTGGAGACCGATGCCATGAAACACCCTGCTTGCCTCCAGGGTGCCCGTGATTTCTTGGGTTTCGACTGTTTTGCTATGGGAGACGTGACATTCCCACACCGAAAAGCAGTGGACGTCCTGGGGTCTCAGGTTTGGGTTTCTTGTGGAAGGTTTCTTGCGGTCGAGCTCCTGCTGTAAGCGGATATTCCCTCCTGTTCCACCCTTTCTTTTTTCCGATGATGGGAAGGGGGTTCGCGTTTCTTGTGCTTCCCTTGCCCGCCCGTCCCTTGCTGGCCTCTGTGCAATGTACTGCTCCCGTATCTCCCCCAGGTATGTCCTGGGAGTGTGCGCCCCCCCGCGTACGTTTGCTATATGGATGTGCGCGAACTGGCCTGTCATATGTTTTTGCTACTTGTTACAATCCGCTTGTTTTAATTTCTATTCATATGACTAGTTGTATCGTGCTCTCGCTGCATCGTGGGCCTCGTTTTCGGATCGGCGCTTTGTTCCTGTCGTGCAGATTGGCGATCCCGCTCCAAGCTGGGCCATTTTATGGATACCGCAGGTCTTGCAGTTCTCACAGCTGTCACAGGTCTCGCAGGCCCCGCAAGGTCCCACAGGTCCCACAGGTTTCAAAGAACCCACAGGTGTTGCAGGTCGGCCCGCAGGTCCCACAACTACTACAGGTCTGACAGGTTCCACAAGTCCCAGAGGTGTATCTCGTCTCGCATGCCCCACAGGTCCCACAAGCCCGACAGCTCCCGCAGGTCCCACAGGTCCCAGAGCTGTCGCATGTCTCACAGGTTCCACGGGGGTCCCACAGGTCCCGCCCGTGCTGCCACAGGTCCCACCCCGCAGTTCCCTCAGGTCCCACAGTTCTCACAGGTCCCACAGGTCCGGCAGGTGTCGCAGGTCCCACGGGCCTCACAGGCCACAGGGGTCCCCCGGGTCGCACAAGTCTCGCAAGTGTCCTTGTTCCGACTGCGCATCACACGATGGGGTCTTTTTTGTGGAGTTCCAGGTCGGCTGCGACACGCGGATAAAGAGAGAGAGAGAGAGAGACAAGATCAGCGCAACGGGAAGGGACGGGGGGGAGGGAGTGGATGTGTGGCGCGAGCGCGCCTGGCTTGCCCTGCCCCCCTTTGCCTCTGCCTGCAGCCGCGGCCTGACCCGGCAGCGCCCGAGCAGCCCCCCCCCCCCTCTCCGTGGAGGCGGAGACGGCCACGTCCGCTTCTGGGGCCCAGAGGGCCGCGGCTACGCTGGCAGGCCTCCGCGCCTCCGCGTCCGCTCCCTGAGATCCCGGCGGCTCCGTTCTTGCTCGGGCCCGGGAGCCGAGCGTCTTCTCGCTCGAGTTCGTGCCCCGGGGCTCTCACGGATCGATCTGGCTCGAAGAGGGGCGCAGAATGATGGGGTCCGGGGGTCAGGTCGCGAGTTTGTGCGACGTTGCGATCTTTTTGCAACGTCGGAAACGACGATGCAAAGATATCTTTTTGCGACAGCGATCTTTTTGCGACGGTTGGCACACCTCGACGACGAAACACCGACGTCAGACCAGCGCCTGGGGCGACCGGCTCACAAGAGCCACTTACGACGCCAATTATGGCATTTGACGCGCACAGCACCGACGGAGAAGATGTGGACAGCAACCCACCGACCGCCCGCTTGAGCAACGAAACCAGCGACGCAGTTCACGACAATACCGACGATAACCAGGACAACCAACCAGGTGACGACGGTCTGGAGCCATGGGTTGAATACATCAAGCGAACGACTCGACAAGCGGAGGCCCTCATGAACAAACATAAACTCCACGACTGGGCATCAATGCAAAGAAAGATGGTATGGCGATGCGCAGCCCGCGTTGCGCAGCAACTACCACATGAATGGCCACAACGTGTTCTTCATTGGCACCCGAGCCTTCAGCTTCCCAGAAGACCGCGTCATCATGGAAGACAGTGGAAGAGATGGGACGATGATATCCGCGTTTTCCTACGCCAGCGTCACGACGACGCAGACAACCGACGCCAGACACCGCGAAGGCACCACGACCTAAACGACACCACGTGGCTCCAACCGGCTACGACACAGGAGTGGGAGCAGTTGGAACACGATTTTGTGAAGTACGGTACGCATGCTCCTGAGTAGGAGGCCAGCGTGCCATTTCTCGGCATTCCGACCTGCAGCCTCATAAAAATCCGACTCCCCACCTCCAACTCCATTTATCGACCTCCCAGCCTTCGCCAGCTCAGCACTCCGACTTCCAATCTCTAGCATCCGACCCTCCACTTCCACCCCCACCTACCGACCTCCAGCGCCCACCAGCTCAGCATTCCGACCTCCAGCTTCTAGCATCCGGCTCTCCGTTTCCACCTCCACCTACCGACCTCCAGCGCCCACTATCTCAGCATTCCGACCTCCAGCTTTTAGCATGCGACTTTCCATCACAACCTCCACATCGATCTCCATCGCCCAGTATCTCAGCATTCCGACCTCAATCCTTGAGCATCCGAATCTCCATTTCCAGCTCCATCTATCGACCTCCAGAGCCCACCAGCTCATCACTCCGACGCTAACCTCGAGCATCCACCTCTCCACTTCCAGCTCCACCTATCGACCTCCAGCGTCCACCAGCTCAGCACTCCGACTTCCACTCTCCAGCATCCGACTCCCCGTTTCCACCTCCACTTACCGACCTCCAGCGTCTACTATCTCAGCATTCCGACCTCCAGCCTTTAGCATCCGACTCTCCACATCCAGCTCTACCTATCGACCTCCAGCGCCCACCAGCTCAACAGTACGACCCCCAACCTCTAGCATCCACCTCTCCACTTCCAGCTCCACTTATCGACCTCCAGCGTCCATCAGCGCAGCCTTCCGACTTCCAATCTCCAGCATCCGACTCTACACTCCTTCATCCGCCTACCGACCTCCAGCGCCCATCAGCTCAGCATTCCGTCCGCCGGCTTTCAGCATCCCACTCTCCATTTCCACCTCCACCTACCGACCCCCGGCGCCCACCAGCTCAGCATTCCGACCTCCAGCTGTTAGCATCCGGCTCCCCGTTTCCACCTCCATTTACCGACCTCCAACGCCCATTATCGCAGCATTCCGACCTCAAGTTTTTAGCATCCGTCTCTCCACATCCAGCTCCACGTATCGACCTCCAGAGCCCACCAGCTCATCATTCCGACGCTAACATCTAGCGTCCACCTCTCCACTTCCAGCTCCACCTATCGACCTCCAGCGTCCACCAGCTCAGCACTCCGACTTCCAATCTCCAGCATCCGACCCTACACCTCCGCATCCACCTACTGACTTACAGCGTCCGTCAGCTCAACAGTACGACCTTCAACCTCTAGCGTACACCTCTCCACTTCCCGCTCCACCTATCGACCTCCAGCGTTCGCCAGCTCAGCACTCCGACCACCAACCTCGCGCATCCGACTTTCCACTGCCATCAATCGACCTCCAGCGTCCATTAACTCAACACTACGACCTCCATTCTCTAGCATCCAACTCTCCACTGCCAACTCTGTCTATCGACTTCGGCGTCCATCAACTCAGCATTTCAACCTCCAACCTCCAGCATCCGACTCGACTTCCACCTCCATCAATCAACCACCACCCTCCACCAGCACAACATTCAGACCTCCAACCTCTCACATGTGACTTCCCACTTCCACCACCAATCGACCTCTAGCTGATCTCTTGGGTGTGTCACAGAACGCGTATGGGCCTTCGATTGCACGTGGTGATATGTTTCTTGAATGGTACCTGAAGGATGTGACACTGAGTTCATGTGCAGTGGATTGGAGGTCCGAGGAGTTCAACTCGAACGTGTTTTGCTATGAGTTCGGGATCACAGAAAGGACGATGAAACCCACGGGTTTCTCCGACAGTCTCACACCACAAGCACTACGATTTCAACGAGACGACGTGGCTACATCATGAGAAAACGGATGAGTGGGGACTGTCGGAAAATCAGCTCCTGAAGTACGCATTGTCCTGAGTAGACCCCCGACGCGCGCAGCTTCTCATGCGAGGCCATGGCCTCACCCGCCTCGCCTTTAAGGGGCCCGGGCGCACGCCCGCACAGGCGTTCCGTTCCGTGCCGTTGCAACGTCGGATCTCAGGGCGTACTCCCCCCCCACACACACGTCCTCCTCCTCGTCCCCGTCCTTCTCCATGTCATGCCTCACCGCGTTCTCGTCCACCTCTTCCCCCTCGCCTCGTCCTCGTCCTCCTCCTCCTCCTCGTCTTCCTCGTCCTCCTCCTCCTCCTCCTTTTCGCCCTGCTCCTTCCCTCCATCTCCACCCCCTCGCACTCCAGAGTTACCGGTAGGGGAAGGGCCCAGCTTGCCAAATCAATGATGAAAGGCATTTACTTTCTCATTGGAAGCTGGATGCGCATGACGTGGCCAGCCTGCGCGAGAGCGCGGGAGCTGGATACACATGTGGCCGCACGTATTTCAGCGGTCGGTTCTCGTGCGGCTACGCACGATGGCCCTCCACACGTGTATCCAGCGCCTGGCATCTGGACGTTCCACATGTGAACCTAGCCATGTTTGTTTCCAACTTCCTGGCAAGTTTGATTAGGGTTTTCCCATCGGGGACCAGATGGTCAACCTCAGATGATGAGGGCTACCTGTGTTCGCTTCAGGGTTTGCCTTGGGTTAAGCAACGAACGTGATAGCAACATGAGGATGATGGGAGGACGATTCTGACATGGTCTGGAGGTCGTGCAAGCGTGCAGCAAAAGGAATTGGAGGTGAGGGTTCCGAGGGTTCCGACTATGCGAGCCACGTGAGTTGGCTCCTCGCTCTCTGACGAAGGTCGGGCTCAATGACTCGTGAGCCCATCTTCCGAGTCTTTTTTCTGTTGTGTCCTATACTGTCTTGCTATTTCCTCGGACGAAGCAAAACCATACAACAGTGCGACGCGGTTGCCGTCACAGCTAGGGAAGCGCAGCAGACGAGGAGGAGGCACCCGGAGCAAAGATAACATCATGGGTCGAGTTATGGCACATTACGATTCGATCGGTCCGATTCGGTGTCGAGTTCGCCTGGTTCGATCCGATTTCATCTCTATGTTCTCGACGATCCATCCGATGCTCCCCGATGCTTGCTCGGCACAGTTGCACATCCTGCACCCAGTCACGGCCGATTCGATTCGATGTCGACTCTGTGCCGATGCAGCCCGACTCGATGGGAGTAGGAGGGAGAAGGAGGGGGTCTGGATGTGAGGGAGCGAAGGAGGAGGAGGAGGAGGAGGAGGAGGAGGAAGGAGGAGGAGGAGGAGGAAGGAGGAGGAGGGGGAGGAGGAGGAGGCGGAGGAGGAGGAGGAGGAGGACGAGAAGGATGACGAGTAAGAGAACGAGGATGACGAGGACGAGGACGAGGAGGAGGAGGAGGAGGAGCAGAAGAAGGAGGAGGAGCATGAGGAGGAGGAGGAGGAGGATCTCGAGGAGGAGGAGGATGAGGAGGACCTCGACGATGATGATGATGATGATGATGATGATGATGATGCTGATGATGCTGATGATGATGATGATGATGATGATGATGATGATGATGCTGATGATGATGATGATGATGCTGATGATGATGATGATGATGATGATGATGATGATGATGATGATGATTGATGTGCGTGCACAGGTTTGAATGGGAGTTGCTCGGAGTCATGTTGCCTTGCGTCTGTCATCCGCAACCGTTTTCTCTTAAGTTTCTCGCGGGATGAATCCCGGGCAGGCCGCCAGCACAGGGGCGGTCTTTGTGGCTTTCCTCGAAACCGTCGTTCGACCCCTTCTCACTCAGCCGCCACAGATCAATTGCCCTGGCGGTGGCGAGCCCTGGCCCGAGTGTCCGCCTTGTCCCAGCCTGACCTACCCGCCCGCGCTGCCCGCGGAGGTGTTCAGTTTGAGGGAGTGCGCCGCCGACAGTGAGCCCGTGTGTGAGGCGGGCTGGTGGGTACTGCTCGGCTGCCTCTCCTCGGCGATCAACACCGTTTGCTTCGTTGTGTCCACCTGCCGTCGCCGATGCCATGACGCTGGTGGCATCAGCGGGCGGCGCGGCGGCGCGGGAGTTCTGGAGACGGCTGCGGCCAGGAGAGGTGTACCTGGCGTGGTACGAGGGCGGTTCGGTGTGGCACGAGAGGATGTGCCTCTGGCCGACGGCCGAGGAGAGCATCTGGATGATATTGACGCCCGACGGGCACGCGTACGCTGAGAGTGTCGTGGGCTGCGAGGACGGCCCTGCCAGGACCCGTGAGCTCCGCGGCGGCGCGCTGCCAGGCGGGCTGCGAGAGAGTGTGTACCGTTTCAAGGATTACCCTGGGACTCGGGAGCTGAGGGTGCTGATGACGGAGGCCCGCGAGGAGGCGACCTTGGCGGCGGCTGGTGCCACTCTGCCCGTGGTCTCGGTGTATGTTAGCCCCAGTGGGCGCGAGAGGCCGATCGGGACGCTGCTGGAAGAGTCGCTGAAGGCGTGGACGCGCCGCCCGCAGCTGGGGTCGACGGTCTGCCCGCAGGGCTGGCGGTAGTCACCGCACCGCGGCCGCCTCCCGAGGGGAAGGTCTGGGCGGTGGTGGACCTGTCGGTGGGCTGGGAGCGCGTCGGCGAGCAGCTGGAGGTCGGCGTCGGCGACCTGATACTGTCTGGCAGTGGTGACTTGCAGGAGGCGCTGGTCCGCGAGGGCGGGGGGTGGACGAAGGTGCTGGCCCTCAGCGAGCACGAGCGGGAAGGCTTCCGCGAGCGAGCTCGGCGGCCACTCGCCCCCGCGCCGCCTGAGGGGGCGGTGGGGGAGGCCGAGGCCGCCGCCGGCACCAGCACCCCGCGCCCTGAGGGCGGCCTGGGCGCCCTGGCCGCCAGGCTCGGCGCTGGCGATCAGAGCGGCGGTGTAGGCGGCCCCAGCAGTGATGGGGACGTTCGCACGTTGGCCGTCGACTTCGACGCTCAGGGCAAGAGGTACAAGGCCTGGCGGGAGGTGGTAGCGGAGATGTCCCGACACGGGTTCGCGGACTGGCCGCTCGACACGCCGCCGACGGCGATCCACTTTCTGCGCCCACATGGAGAGAACGGGACGTGTGCCGTCTGGGTGGCTGGACAAGTGGGCGCAGAGTAAAAACATCGCGAGCAGCGACCGCGTGTATTACGAGTTGAAGACGATCATAGATTCGTTGGAGTACGCGGGATGCTACGACCAGCTCAACCTCGGGTCGCTGGTGTTCGCGGAGCTCCTCTGCCTGCGCGTGCAGGCCATAGTCGACGCCTACGACGCCAACCCGAACAAGCCTAGCTTCGAGAACGCGAAGTACTTCTCGGGGCTCAAGAGCTTGTCAGATGCGGTGTCGCCTGATTTGAAGAGTTTTGCGACCCGCAGGGCCAAGGGGGAAACCGAGGTTGAGAAGCAGCGGCAGAAGGTCAGAGAGCTTCGCGGTAAAGGGCGACAGCAACAAGACCGATGCCGCAGGAGGGAAGAAGTGATCGGCGCGGCTGCGTCTGGGACCACCAGCGGACACAGCACGCATATGAGACTGGTGGGGCCGTACCCGAAGGAGCATTTCAACCCCGAGAAGATTTGTCCCGTGCCGTTGCTCGAGACAGAGCCCCCTGCTCGTGGTCTCTCCCGTGGAGTACGTCAGCGAGTCGGGCGTCGGCGCGCGTGGGACAACAAGGCCAACGAAGTTCTGCATGCCTTGAACTGGATGTCGGGCTGCGGGGCCGCTGCTGAGGCATGTCGAGCTCCCGCGGCCGCAGCCCCCGTCCACCGAGAGGTCTACGAGCGGGGGCTGAAGGCTGTCCACAGCTGGAGGTCACCTGGCCACAGTGTCTCTCAGGAGGAAGCCGCGCGCGCTTCTCCGCGCCGGATCGGTGTACGACCAGGCGCACATGACTGTGACACCCTACGAGGAGGGCAAGGTGTCGCTCCCCGCTGACGTCCGCGACGCGAGGTACGCGGACTTGATCGGGGGCACGCGCGCCCGCGTTTTGCTCGAGAGGTTCATCGAACGTAATCGGCGGAGTTCCGAGGAGGTGAGCGAGCTCGATCACGCTTTTGGGGCTGTTAAGCCGCACATGGATCGCTGCTTGGAGTCGTCGCCTCGGCTCTACTGGAGGTTTGTGCGCCAGCTTGACCAAAAGGGCATGACTCATTGGACGAAGGCCCCCAAGTGCCTTATTTCGGTGTTCTTTGTCAAGAAGACGAGTGGGGACCTTCGTATGATCACGGATGCGAGACTTGTTAACATACTTTTTCGGCTACCCCCTGGGGCACAGCTATGCACTGCCGAGGGCTTGGGGCGCATCGAACTCCAGGAGGAGGCCGCCCACGTGTACATGGCGCAGGCGGACGTCGCGGACTGCTTCCACCGGCTGCGGATGCGGGAGGAGCTCGCGGAGTTCTTCGCGATGCCTCCCCTGTCGGCGCGGGCTGCCGGGCTGCTGGACCGCGCGGGCTTGGACGTCGTCTCCGATGACGAGCTGTGGTGGCCCTGCTGTGCTACTTTCCCGATGGGCTTCAGCTGGGGCCTCGCGGTGGCGCAGAGCGTGAACCAGTGCCACGCGGCGCAGGGCCCTGGGCTGGGGCAGCGGCTGGGGCTGTCGCCGCCGATGGCGGATCGCCGCGGCCCCGCGGTGTTGCGGGAGGACGCGGCGGCGGCGCACAACGTGTGCGTGGACAACTTCGGCGTGATCAGTGCGGGGCGAGACGCAGGCGCGGCTGGCTTCGCGGGCGCGCGCGAGGCCTTCGAGCGGGCAGGCCTGGCGCTGCACGACCGCTTGGAGGAGCCGAACGCGATGGAGAGCCTGGGCGTGGAGCTGGACGCTGAGAGGCGCGAGGCGCGGCTTACCGTGGCGCGCTACTGGCGGCTGGATGCTGGGCTGCGATGGTTGCTGGCACGGCGAAAGGTCTCTACGCACGTGGTCGAGGTTTTCGCAGGCCACTGCACCAGCGTCGGTCTGCTCGTGAGGCAGACGATCTCCGCCTTTCACGCTGTGTACAAGTTCGTGCTGGCCTACCCCGCAGGCCTTTTCCCGATGTGGAGCTCGGTGAGAGCTGAGTTCACCGCCATCTTGGGGCCCATGCCGCTGTTGATCGCTTCTTGGGAGTTGCCCTGGAGTGGAGTGGTCGACGCCAGCGACGCGAGCGAGGGCGGGTGGGGAAGCTGCCCCACGTGGTGGGGAGCTGAAGTTGCAGCCCTGCACGGACGCGTGCCCGAGAGGTCGAAATGCAAGCTGTCTTCGGCCTCAGCCAGAGCCCACGCCTTGCAACAGGCTGGCTTGGACTCCTTCGACGTTGAGGAGCCCGAGCTCTTGGGGGAGGACTTCGAAGAGGCGGGGGGCTTCCCTGAGATCCCAAGGCGCCTGCTTGACAAGCGGGACTGGCGAGTCACCCTTCGGGGCCGCTGGAGAGCGGCGGAACACATCACCCTGTCGGAGGCCCGAGCGGCAGTGGCCATGCTGCATCGGGGTGCGCGGGCGCGGCCTGGCGCTGGCGTTCGCAAGTTGTATCTAGGTGACAACCTGGGGATGGTGTTGGCCTTCGAACGGTGCCGGGCTCGAGATTTTGCAATGCTGACTCAAGTAAAAAATGGTGCGCGATTTGTCTTGCAAGAGAGATTCGACCAGCTACCAGGTGGATTCCGTCAGAGTGGAATGTTGCAGATGAGCCCTCCAGATACCTCCGTGGTGGCCCTCTCCGTTTACCGCAGCCGCCTGGGCTCGAGCTTCGAGCGGGGCGGCGGACGGAGTTTCCTCCAGCGCAGCAACCGACGGCGCATGCGGCCGCATGCTGGGCTGTGCGCGACGTACCCGCCGAGGGCGAGCAAGCGCACACGGGAGCTCACCGCCCCTGTGGCTGGGCGGCCGCAGGCTGGGCTTGCGGAGCTGGGGCAGCCGAGCAGGCAGCGAGTGCTGACAGAGGACGCGGCCCTCGGCTCCTTGACCTCCAGACTGCGCTGCAAGCGGGCGAGGCTCTCCGACGACCTCGAGGATTTCGTGGAGGACGCTGCCCCCGATCCGCCCGATTCGGAGGGCAGCAGCGAGAGCCGGTCGGAGCTGGCAAGGGGGGCGCCCCAGAGGGCGAGGAGGCTCGAGAAGGGTGTCAACCTCGATCCGAGGAAGGGGACCACGCACCTGGAGGGGAAGAGCGCGACCCCGAGGGTGATGGGGGACTACCGCCGCCGAGTGAAGATAGCGCTCGGCTACGCCCAGAGGCGGCAGTTGCCTGCCAACAACGCCGACAAGGTCGACCAGTTGCTCACCCACCTGATGAACACAAGGTACCGCGACGGCGAGCACAGCAGCTACGGCGGCAAGCTTCTGGCCGCCTGGATGGCGATCTACCCCGAGTGCGGGAAGTACGGCCCGCAGCGGTTGCCCAGGAGTGGGCGAGCGCTCAAGGGCTGGAAGCGACTGGTGCCTGGGCGCACGAGGAAGCTTTTCCCGTTTCCAGTCGTGGCCGGCATAGTTGCGGCGCTGATCCACTTGGGAGAGCTCGAGGTGTCACTGCGGATCCAGGTGTGCTTCGGGTTTAACCTCAGGCCCTGCGAGTGCCTGCGGATCCAGCCAGAGGACCTGATAGCCCCTGTGGTGGGCATGTCGGAGCACTGGGGCCTGGTGAGAGCCCCAGAGGGGCGAGGGGTCCCAACCAAGGTGGGCGCCTTCGACGACACGCTGCTGTGGGGCGCCCCCTACCTGAACTCCATGACTGGGATGTTCTCGGTGCTGCGGTGGCGGCCACAAGGGAAGCCGATGTGGAATCTGGACTACCAGCACGTCCTGAGGTCCATAGGATGGCGTCGAAGCTGCTGGGAGTCGATGCTGTACCGTACCACATGCGCCACTCGGGGCCGAGCTGGGACCGACTGAAGAACGTGCGAACGCTGCAGCAGATCCAGAAAAGAGGCAGGTGGGCGTCGACGAAGAGCCTGGTGAGGTACGAGAAACACGGCAGGCTCGCCATGCAAATGTCGGAGCACTCAGAGGCCCGCCAGGAGTGGTTCACAGGCTGCGAGGCACACGTAGGGCAGTTCGTCCTAGGTTCGAGAGTCGTAGACTGGCCACCCCCACCGTGGAGGAGGGAGTTGTCCTGGATCTTTTTTCTGGGACAGGCGGGGTGGCTAGGGCCGCCAGGGCCGAGGGTTTCAATGCTGTAGAGTGGGGCCGAAAGTTCGGTGAAGCCTTCGGTTTAAGCCGTCAAAAGCATGTTGGGATTATAAAGAATATGATCCGTGACGGAGAAGTCATTGGGGCCTGTTTGGCTCCGCCCTGTGCCAGTTTTTCAAGTGCTAGAGATCGGACCAGGATGGTTCGCGACAAAAGCCATCCCTGGGGTCTTCCCGATCTTCCAGAGCACGAGCAGTCAAGGGTATATGACGGCAATCGCTGCCTTCAGTCGTCGTTACAGATAATTCGCTGTCTGAATATTTTATCGATCCCTTGGGCCTGGGAAAACCCGCTGACAAGTAGAATGTGCTTGACACCCCAGGCCCAGACAATGGAAAGCTTAGATTTGGTGAATGATGTGACACGTGATTTCTGTATGATGGATGGGTACCCCCTGGAGGAAGCGGACCCGCATCATATTTGGCAACGTATGTGTAGAAGATCTAGAGAAGCTTGCGCGGTTGAAATGATATGGGAGAAACGGTTTTTGCCCCCGCACTGGCAAGAAGCATCTTCAGTTGACGGGGGGTGGGCCCACAGGAGCTCGATGCACCGCCATCGCGGAGCCCTACCCCCCAAAATTGCGCCGCCTGCTCGCGCGAATCCTCGCAGAGAAGGCTCGATCCCAGAGGCAGCCGGCGTGGTCCAAAATGGAATGACTAATAGAGTTTTCGGGATGCCCGAAACCTTTTCGCGCTGCGGGACGTTTTGAAAGCTTTCTCCTGCTCCTGGGGGCCGCTGTGCCCCAGGAGCTCTCGCCGCGCATGGACGGCGTCGCAATCATTCGAGATAGATTGCCCACCAGAATAGAGCACTCCCAGTAATTGATGTGCGTGCACAGGTTTGAATGGGAGTTGCTCGGAGTCATGTTGCCTTGCGCTTGTCATCCGCAGCCGTTTTCTCTTCAGTCTCTCGCGGCCCAGTGCCATGCCCTGTTTCACCTTGCCCCGCTTCCCTGGTCTCTTGAGAACTGGTCGTGGCCGACGACTCGGTCAAGATGGAACGCCCGCCAGCGGGCCGCCACCGTCGCCGAAGTTGCGCCCGCTGCTCGTCCTCAGGCCTCGACTTGCCTTGTCGGACTCGGGACGTTTTGAAAGCTTTCTCCTGCCCCTGGGAGCCGCTGTGACCCAGGAGCTTTCGCCGTGTGTAGACAGCGTCACAATCATTCGAGATAGATTGCCCACCAGAATAGAGCACTCCCAGCAATGATGATGATGATGACGATGATGCTGATGATGCTGATGCTGATGCGGATGCTGCTGTTGATGATGATGTTGATGATGATGGAAACGATAATACGGATGATGCTGATGATGGTGATGCTGATGATGGTGCTGATGTTGCTGATGATGACGCTGATGCTGATGCTGATGGTGCTGATGGCAATGATAATGCTGATGTTTATGCTGATTATGATGATGCTGAAGATGATGATGCCTATGATGCTGATGCCGCTGGTGATGATGATGACGAACATGCTGATGCTGATGACGATGATGGCAATGATGACAATGGTAATGATGATGATGATGATGATGATGCTGCTGATGGTGCTGATGACGACGGTGATGACGATGGTGCTGATGATGACTATGACGATGGTGATGATGATGATAGTGGTGATGATGATGATGATGCTGATGATGATGCTGATGATGTTGATACTGATGCTGAAGCTGATGCACCAGCTGATGCTGATGCTGATGATGCTGCTGATGATGTTGCTGATGATGTTGATGCTGATGATGATGGTGATGATGATGATGATGATGCTGATTGCGATGATGATGATTATGATGATGATGATGACGACGATGGTGATGATGATGATGATACGATGAGGACGAGGGGGGTGATGATGAGGAGGAGGAGGAGGAGGAGGACGACGAAGCAGAAGGAGGAGGAGGAGGAGGAGGAGGAGGAGGATGGGGACCAGCAACAGCAGGCGGATCAGGAGCAGGAGCAGGAGCAGGAGCAGGAGCAGGAGGAGGAGGGGCAGGAGGAGGAGGAGGACGAGGAGGAGGATCTCGAGGAGGAGGAGGATGAGGAGGAGGCGGAGATCCGTAGCCATTTTGGCCCAAGGTGCTCCGGCAGTGCGCCTCGGTCCATGCGCGGAACCCCATTCGAGCTCCGCGCTGATGGGGCCCGGAGTTTTCGCCGAGCGCAGCGGCCCACCGCTGATTCATGGTTAAGCCGAAGAAGGGCAGCAAAGGAGATGGCGGAGGTTGGCGGCGAGATTGCTGGGCATGTGGCCACAGGCGCTGCCAGGCCAAGGACAACTATGAGTGGAGGCGGGCGCGCTACCTCTGCGGCACTGCCGAGCCCAAGGCGCCTGATGTCGTGGATCCTCGTCCTCCTGTGGGTGCCGGGAGTAAGCGTGTGATGTCCGAGGGAGAATTCGCGTCTTGGCTCCAGCTTGACGAGGGCCCTTTCCGCTCGCTCATGCCCTCGCTGTCCCAGTCCCAGCGGGGCATGTTTCCCCATCGTCGTGCCATGGCGGCCGCGGGCCTGGCCGAGCCCGTCGCGGTCGCAGTGCAGGCTTCGCAGGACATGGGCCCCCGCGCAGCTGCTGGCGGCGCGGGCTCGGCTCGTCGAGGCCCAGGCTGCGGCGCAGGAGGTCATCGCATACGTCGTCGAAGTCGAAGACGAGTTGCAAGGGCTCCAGGACAAGTGCGCCGAGGCTCGCGCTCAGGTCGGCGCATTAGCAGGCCCGCAGCCGGCATGCCCCCCCGCCCAGCTGCAAGCGGCCCACCAAGCCCTCGACGGCGTGGTCGGCGCCCTGGCGGCTCAGGGCGGCCAGGCGGCGCAGCTCGCCCAGGCGCCGGGGGCTGTCCAGCAGGTGCTGTCCACCCCGGCGCCTGCTGATGGACTGGCGGCGGGGGCGGCCCCCCCCGTGGCCGCGCCCCTGCCGCAGGTTGGCCAGCGGGTTGGCTCGGCCCCTGCGGCGGGGGGGCAGCAGGTTCGCGAGGGGGCGCCGCCTCCTCGGCCTGCTGCCGCCGCCAGACCCCAGGTGTTTCAGGGGCGCCCTGCGGGCGCTAGCTGGGATTAGCCTGCGGGCGACTGCGACTTGGACGTCGCGCTCGTCGATGCTGACCCTGGCCCGGTCCCGCCCCAGTTCCCCGAGCTGCCTCGCGACGAGCTGGTTGCCCAGGAGGTCAGGCGCAGGGCGGCGGCGCGTGCCAGACCCGAGCTCAGCCAACGAGCTCAGGAGCCAGCGGGGGCGGCGATCGGGGGAGCCGCAGCCGCCATTCCCGCCCGCCGTCGCAGCCGCCCCCGCGGGCGGCCGACCTGGCCGAGGCCGCCTCGGCTCCCGCCGCGGCGGGCCGCGCGGGCGGGGGTGCAGCCGAGGCGGTGCGGCAGCGGGGGTAGCTCCCTCTGCAGCGGGAGACGCAGCCCGTCTCCCTCAGCGTCGCCGTCCTTCGCGGCGTCGGGGGGGGCAGAGCGGCAGCGGCGCCCGTCGTCGAGAGCCCCGCGCACTTGGACGTTCATCATATGCAACACTACGAGCTGGAACAGCTGCCAGCACTTCCTGCAGGCTGAGGCCGAGGGCGACGCGGCGCTGCTGCAGGAGATAGCGGTCGCCCCCGCCGGCCGTGGCACGGCAGAGGCTTCCTCTGGTCGCCTCGGCTGGAAGACCACGGTGGCGCCCAGCCGCGATGCAGGCGGCGGCCTCTCGAGTGGAGTTGCGGCGCCGTCGAGCCGCGCCTGGGGCTTGGGGGGGGGGGGGGGGGGGGGGCATCGCTTGGCGGCCGTGGCCTTCTGAGCGGGTCAGTCTCAAGTGGCTCGACGGGCATGTCAAGGGCGGCGTCCTCATAGGCTCGGTCCACCTGGTCCCTGGAGGCGGCCTCGACGATGTCTCGTTCGGGGTTTTGAAGCAGCTGGGCGAGGCCTTGCAGGCCTTGGGACAGCCGTTTATCTTCGGGGGCGACTGGAATGTGGAGCCTGCGGAGCTCCTGGCGTCTGGGTGGGCGGCCTCGCCCGGGGTCGCCATAGTGCCGCCTGGGACCTACGCGTGCAGGGGCTCTGGGTTTAAGTGGCACACGCTCGACTATTTCGTGGTATCCTCTGGGTTCTGTCGGGAGATATCGGTTGTTCCCGACGGGGCGACGTTGCCGCGAGCCCGCATTGGGCTGTGCAGCTGCGGTTGTCTGGGGTCCGACGTCGGTTCAGCTCCCGCCCCATGGTTGTCCAAGCAGTTCCCTCTGGACCCCCCTACGGGGCCTCGCCTTGGGGGGTTAGACTGGAGCCGCGTCTTCCAGGACATAGACTCCGTCGCCACCTCGGGACCTCGCCAATGGCCACCTCGCGTTCAATGATCAGGCCGGGGCGAAGCCGTCTCGGTTCCATGGCTACTCGGAGGCGGAGGCGAACGACGTTTTCTGCAGGCAGGGGTCGATGGGGCCATTGTGGTTCGTCGTTCAATATTGCGGAAGTCGGGGGCGGGGGGGGCTTATCCCAGGGCCTCTGCTTTTACTAGAGCTTGGAGAAAGATCTCGCGCCGTCTTCAGGGGCTTCAGTTCTTGGTGCGTCGCGGGCAGTCGGACTCCCCGGACGCGCGTCATGTATTCCAGAAGCTTCTCTCATGGGCTGGTCAGTTGCGCGGTTGTGCCGAGTGGGTCGCCTCTCATGCGTGGTCGTCGGAGCAGAGCTTGGGGCCCGAGCTTGACCTCTCCGACACAATTCAGCATCTCACCTCAGTGGTGCGCACTCTCGAGAGCAGGTTTGCAGCGAAGAGGGCCAAGGACTGGAGGAAGCCTGTCGCTCGAGCTGTGCGCCGTGGAGGCGGGCCCGCCCATCGCATCGCTCACTCGCCGGCCGACCGAGCGGGTCCCCGACGAAGCCTCGGAGTTCCAGGGCGGAGCGCCCGCAGGGGCGGATGCCCTCCTCAGGGATCTGCAGTCCGAGTGGGGACCCATTTGGGGCTGGAGGTCGTCTGAGGAGGAAGCGTCAAGGATTCACGAGGTTATCGCGCACATGCAAGGGCTTGACCTCCCTCCTGTAGATGAGCCCCCCAGCCCCGATAGGTTGCGCAGAGTTCCCAGAGGCTTCGGAAGATGGGCGGCAGTGGGTGCTGATGGCTGGCGCCCGCGCGTCCTTCTTCAGCTCGCCGATCAGGGCCTTGCGTGTCTGGGGATGGTGCTCTGGAAGATCGAGGAGTTGATGGCGTTCCCGCTTCAGCTTTGGAGAGTTATCATTGGGTTTCTTCAGAAGCCCGAAGGAGAACGTAGACCGATCGGAATCCCCACCGCGTTCTGCCGTATCCTCGGGGCCCTTAGACGGGGCTACGCTGTGGTGTGGGAGAGTACGTTTCCGCGGGACTGGGCCTTCAGCGCCAGGGGTATATCTTGTGCGCAGGCGGTGTGGAGGCAGGCGTTCGTGGCTGAGTGGGCCAAGGCCAACCATCGAGCTTCTGCCCGTGCCCTTGTGGGCCCCCAGAAGGCTTACGAGATGGTCTCTCACATTCGGTTTCTTCGCAGGGGCCGAGAGCTCCACTTCGGCCTTCGCAGGCTGGCCCTCCTTGTCATCATGTACTCCAGGCTCAGGGCCCTGCAGGTAGGTGTCTTCCCCTCCTGGGGCCCCTTTCGCATCGCCCAGGGGATCATCGCGGGCTGCGCCTTCGCCACCGCGTAGCTTCGCATGTTCCCCCGGCCCATTTTGGATAAGGTGCTGCGAGAGACAGCGCTCACTGCGTGCCCGGTGGCTGACGATTGACCCTTTCCAGCGCAGGCCGAGAGGGCCACGCAGCGCGCGTGCTTTCTAGAGGCGCTGTCGATCTGCGCACCCGACTGGGGCCCGAAGGGCTGAAGGTGCATCGGAAGAAGTGCCAGCTCACGTCGTCGCCCAGGCAAGTCTCCAATGGCTTGATTTCCAGGCTGCGGGCGTGGAACCTCCGAGGGGCCGGTGGAGTGAAAAACCTCGGCGTTGTTTGTTTGATGTGTGGGCCTCATCGGGCCGCCCAGGCGCGTGGGCTGAGCTCCGTCAGGCGCAGGGTCCGTCGCTTTCGTTTGCTTCGATCCGCTCGCAAGGGCTCGAGCAGGAGATTCGCGTCTGAAGGAACCGCCGCCGCGTCTTATGGTGCCAGAGTTACTGGGGTCTCTAGGGTCCTCGAGAGTTTCAGGGCCACCTCGGCTTCAGCTATCTTTGGCCCCGCGGCGGGTCAGTCTCGCACTGCGCAGTTCGCTTTGTCGGCGGCCCCCAAAACAGACCCCGCCTATGCGGCCGACAAGTTGCCGCTGCAGTTTTGGGGCCGTGCTGTTGTAGAGCAATCGTTTTCGCTTGCCCTCATGATTGGGGCCTTCGCGAGGCTTGGGGGGCCATCCCCAGCGAGGTCACGGGGCCCTGCTCGGCCGCCTCGGCCACGTTGCCCCGCCTCGGCTGGAGAGCTATCGGGTGGGATCGGTGGGGCGGCAGGGGATGCGGCGATCGACCTTCGGAATGTTTGGCCTGCCACTTCAGGTAAGCCGGTAGACAAGGGAACCGAGCGTGTGCTTATGGGGGGGCTGGCTGGTTCGATGAGGCTCGAGTCGCTGCTGGGCCCCCCATGCTCGAGCCTGTTAGGCGTGCCCAGGCCCAGCTTTTTCGAGATGGGTTTAAAGAAGGGGCCGCGTGCTTGGCCGCGCATGTTGCTGGGGGACTGTGGACGCAGCATGTCCCGTTCCACTCTCGCGCTGCAGACTCCGCGACGTGCAAGGCTTGCGGCCAGGAGGCAGGCGACGCCCCGCACGGGCTCTTCCGTTGTGATTGTCCCCAGAGTGTGCGTGACAACCTCGGCCTTGACGCCGTTTCCCAAGCTGGGGCAGCGTGCGCCGAGGATGATGCTCTCTGTTCCGATGCCTGCTCGATTCCAGGCTTCGCTTGCAACGGCCACCTGGCCAGTCTGGCCTCGTGGTCTCAGACGGGCCGCTGGCGGTAGGCGTCTGCGCAGGCACAGTTGCAATTGACGGGAGTATCCTTGACCCCGAATTGCCGCTTTGCTCTAGAGGAGGCTGGGCGGTAGTCTCGGTCGATCAGCATGGCAATTCCCAAGGCGCGTGCTATGGGCCTCCACCCACCGCTCTGCAGGAGATTGGCCTCGCCGAGCTGTGGGCTTCCTTCCAGTGCCTGCCTCTTGCAGTTGCTCCCAGCACGGTCGTTACTGATTGTCGTGCGATCGTCGACGGGGCAGCCGCGGGAAAGGCGCGTTGCGTGCGCCTGAATCGCCTCTATGCCGAAGTCTGGGATCGGATTTGGTCCAAATTGCAGGACCTGGGGGCCGACGAGGTTGCGGCCCGCTGGGTGCCGCCTCACAAAAGTTGGCCCGAAGCGCAGAGACGCGGCAAGCCCTGGCTTCGCTTTCGAGGCAACGTGCTGGCGGACGAGTTCGCTAAGCGAGGGGCCATAGCAAATCCCAGGGACGAAGACTGGGCCCACAGACGATCGTTGGCCTGGTGGGCTAGCCGTCATGTGGCGTACTACACGGGGCGTATCCTGCACCATCTGGCGCTCGCTGATTTTCCTGATGTGGTCCGTCCCAAGGTCCTCGGGGTCCGTTTTGACCCGCTCGAGTTGGTCTCGGACCCGCGGGGCCACCAAGTCAAGCTCGTTCGCGGTCGCTGGGGGTGCGTGTCCTGCGGTCGGTCGAGGATGCATCGCTGCGAGGTCGTCGATCGACCTTGCCCTGGCCTTCCAGACATTTTGTCTCGTGCTCACTCGTCCCACCGCTTGCGGTGGGCAGGGGGGGGGGGGGGGGGCACCGAAGGAGTTGTTTGGTGCTCGCGCTGTGGGGCGCACGGAGCCCAGCAAGTTCTCAAGATCGGCAGGCCCTGCGTCCCTCCCACGGACTGGGGCCGCCGTTCGTTGAAAGCACTTCGCAAGGGCAAAGGCCCTTCCTCGGGGTCCCTCCTCCCTCGCTCCTTTTCCCGTCTTGCCTCCGCGGGGGCCTCGGGAGTTGGGTTGGGCGGGGGGCCTTTGCTCTGTCCTCTCTGAGGTTGAGGATCTCGAGGCGTTTTACCGTGCGCAAGGGGTCGGCCCCCCTGCTGCGGCCGCTCGTGCTCGCGGGCCTGCCCCGCTTGAGGCGGGCAGGGCTGCCGTGGAGCCCAGCGCGGTGGCGGAAGTGACATTGGCGCCACCCGCTGCGGGCTCCCAACGTGGCTGGCCTCGTGGGGCTTTGCTGGGGCGGTTCCTACTGGGGCCGCCCCCACAGGAAAGGAAAGAGAAAGAGAGGATGATGAGGCGGAGGCGGAGGCGGAGGAGGAGGAGGAGGAGGAGGAGGAGGAGGAGGAGCAGGATCACACGGAGGGCGAGGAGGAGGAGGACGACGAGGACGAGGACGAGGACGAGGAGGAGGAGGAGGAGGAGGATTGAGGATTGAGGACTGAGGATGGAGGAGGAGGAGGAGGAGGAGGAGGAAGAGGAGGAGGAGGACAGGGCAAGGAGGAGGAGGAGGAGGAGGAGGAAGAGGACGAGGAGAGGAGAAGGAGGAGGAGGAGGGAGGAGGAGGAGGAGGAGGAGGAGGGAGGAGGAGGAGGAGAGAGGAGGAGGAAGGAGGAGGAGGAGGAGGAGGAGGAGGAGGAGGAGAGGTGGTGGAAGGAGGATCTCCAAGAGGGGGAAGGGGAGGAGGAGGAGGAGGCGGAGGAGGAGGAGGAGGAGGAAAAACAGGGCGAGGAGGAGGAGGAGGAGGAGGACGACGACGACGACGACGACGACGGGGAAGACGACGAGGAGAACGAGGAGGAGGAGGTGGGGGAGGATGTGAAGAGTAGTGCAGTATATGAGCATATGTTGGCCCAGCAGAGAGGGGCCAGAGTGCATGCAGTCAGCGTATATCTGAAGCCCCTTTTGGCTCAAGGGAGAGACAACACATTTAGATGGTAGCGGAGCCGTGAGGCTCCACGCGACCTTTCATAGTGGGCCCACGGCACATTTCCTTCAGAGTCAATGGAGCAATTGATCCAGCAGCTGCAGGATCAGGTGGCAACGTTGCAGCAGCGCCAGCAGCCTATGGAAAAGATGGTCCAACAGCTGCAGCGACAGCGACAAGATATTGATAGACTTCAGGCCGCAGAACGAGAGGCGCTGCAGCAACAACAGCAACAGGATGTACGTATGGATGAGCTGAGAGCCGTGGCCAGAGGCAGCATGAATACAGTCATCGACACGAAGAGCCTCGGCAAGCCGAAGGACTTCGACAACGAAGAAGAGCACTGGCAGGAGTTCGCGTTCAAGTATGAGAACTGGATCAGCGGCATCGAGCCGCAGGCGCGGCTGCACCTCAGGTGGGCAGAGCTGAGTGGCGAGGACATCGATGACCTCGACTTGGATGATCCTCCGGACGCGCTCAGCCAGGATGAGATCAGGCACCTGGGTAGGCAGGTGCACGTATCCTTGGCGCAGATGCTCACAGGCGAATCGCTGGATGTCTTGAGGAATGGCCGTGAAGATAATGGTTTTGATGCGTGGCGTCGGCTCTGGAGGCGATGGGACCCGAAGACAGTCGGGCGCAACAGGGCGGCCTACCTCAAGATTGCGCAACCAGGCACTGCGAAGACGGTGGAGCAGGCGTCCAAGATGCTGGAGCAATGGGAAGCGCAGATCCGCGACTACGAGTCCAAGAGAAAGAAGGTGGTTGACGAAGAGCTCAAGTGTGCAGTGCTGACGGAGATGATGCCCAAGGAGCTGCGACTTCATCTCCAGCTCAATGCGAGGACGCTCACGGACTACACCACGATCAGGCAGGAAGTGCTGTCCTTCCTCGAGGCTAGGAAGAGCCACGCCGGTGACGGCTCAGCCCCGATGGATGTTGATGCCCTGCAGCGGAAGGGCAAGGACAAGAGCGGCAAGGGCAAGGATAGCAAAGGCAAGGGCAAGGACACGGACCACTCTCACTCCAAGAAGAACGTGACGTGCTGGAACTGCGGCAAGCCAGGGCACACGAGCAGTGAGTGCTGGACGAAGCCGCAGACATATCATGACAAGAACAAGGCCCGTGGCAAGGGCAAGGACAACAAAGGCAAGGGCAAGGACTCCAAGGGCGACAAGGGCAAAGATGGCGGCAAGGGGAACTCCCAGAACCACTTCCGGGGCTACTGCGACAAGTGTGGGAAGTGGGGTCACCGCGGACAAGATTGCTGGGGTTCCAAGACGACGAACTCGTTGGAGACGAGCGACCAGCCGGAGCCTGAGATCGGCGGCTTCGACATTTGCGCGCTCGACGGGCACGGCAAGGATGAGACGGACAATGACATGCAGCACTACGAGGAGGTGAACAGCTACATGATCGAGGCGACGGTGGACTCAGGTGCGGCAGTCAGCGTGATGCCAGTGAGCACGCGCCAGGAGTACAAGGTGAGGCCGAGCGAGGCATCACGCAGAGGGATCCGCTATCGAGCAGCTGGAGGACAGATGATCTCGGACCTCGGCACGCGCGTGGTGAACATCCACGCGGGAGGTAGTGACGGCAGCAAGGCTCGAGTGTCGTGCTCGGTGGCCGAGGTGAAGAAGGTACTCCTGAGCGTGGCCAAGATGGTAGACCAGGGCAACAGGGTGACGTTCGGCCCGAATGAGGGCGACAACTACATCGAGAACATCGCCACCGGGGTCGCTATCCCCGTCAGGCGTAAGAACGACGTGTATGTGATGGACATGGAGATCCAGCCGCCGAAGCAGCACGAGAGGTCGATGATGCTCGCAGCGGTGGACTCGGCCCAGTCGCTGGGGGGCAGGAGGCAGGCCGCGAGGCCGTAAGTCCGCCCAGCAGTGAGGACGAGGAGGCTCGGCGCTGGGCGACGCCCGTATTCGAGGGCGGCAGCGGCGGGTCGGGCCAGGCAGCGGCGCCGGGCGAGCCCGGGCCAGGGGCGGAAGACGGCCGCATCATCGAGATGGAGGCCGACGAGGAGGCGGCGGCGCCCGCGCGGGTCGTCAAGGACCCGGAGGCGCCGACCAAGGAGGAGATCGAGCAGCACAACATCGGGCACATACCGTACAGGAGTTGGCGCAGGCACTGCGTGATGGGCCGAGGCAGGAGCGCGGCCCACCGCAAGCTCGAGGCGGAGAAGTCACACGTGATCCCCGCGGTCGGTCACGACTACGGCCTCCTCGGGCGAGATGATAATCCTGTGATGCCGATGTTGGTGGGCAAGAGCTTTCGAACGTTGTGGCTTGGAGCCGCGATCGTCCCATGCAAGGGCGACGCGAGCGAGTACAGTGTTGGGGTCATGAGTGGCCAGATCAAGCAGATGGGTCATTCCAACTTCATCCACGAGACGGGCCAGGAGTCATCGTTGAGGGCGCTGAAGGAGTCAGCGCACCAGGCGCTGGGAACTGCGTACAGCGTGGTCTCGGAGGAGGCCCCGCGCGGCAGCAAGGAGTCGAACGGTGCAATGGAGAACGGCGTGATGCAGATCGAGGGCCTGGTGCGGACCCACAGGGGCGCGCCGGAGATCTCGCGGGGCATCAAGGTCGAGCACGAGTCTGCGCTCGTGCCTTGGCTGGTGCTGTGGGCGGCGTGCGTCTACAACCGGTTCTCCAGGGACGTCAACGGGAAGACACCGTATGAGAAGACGAAGGGCAAGCCGTTTCGACGTGAGCTACTGCCTTTCGGTGAGCGCATCTACTGGCTCCCAGCGGACAAGAGCAAGAAGCGTGGTGATGCGCAGGGCACGAACAAGTTAGAGAACAAGTGGCGGACGGGACACTTCCTGGGCGTCCAGGAGGGCAACGACGAGGCGTTCGTCAGTGATGAGAATGGCGGCGTCTACCGGGCCAGGAGCATGAAGAGGCCCCCGGAGGTGATGCGCAAGTCGCCGGAGACGATCCTCAAGGTCAAGGGTGTGCCCTGGAATCGGACGCCAGAGGAGGCGCCGGCGCCTCAAGTACGAGTGGAAGTTGGACGACCAGATCCACCACCAGACGTACCGCCGGTGATCGAGACGCCACCGGAGCCGACAGTGGTTCGGCGGAGAACGTACGTCACCAAGGCCATGATTGAGAAGTACGGTTTCACGCCAGGATGTCGAGGGTGTGAGGCTTTGCTCATCCACGGCACGACGCACGTGAGTGGAGGCGGAGTTGCGCACTCGGACTTTTGCCGAGCGCGTATCGAGGCGGCAGGGCAGCGAGCGCCCGCTGCTCCTGCAGCAGCGCCCAGCCCACCGGCAGTTGCGGAGGGGCCAGCGGGAGATGCCGCCCAGGCCCCGGAGGCAGCCGAGAGATCACCTATGGAGGTGGAGGCGCAGCTGGCACCGCAGGGCAGCAGCGCGGGACCCGCACAAGGATCCCAGATGGAGGACGTGCGGGGGAGTCAGAAGCGTAGGGCTAGCGAGGAGTTGCAGCAGGATGAGGTCAGGCAGTGCGAGGTGGTCGAGGAGACCAGCGTGCCGGCGGCCAGGGCGGATTACCTGGAAGGCGGCAGGATGCTGAGCGCGCTGGGCTACGACGTCCACGTGAGTGAGGTGTACAACCCGGAGAGGTTCAAGGAGGAGGCCGAGGCGATGGGTCTTGCCTTCGGCCACGCCTTCGACCTGCAGCTCCAGAAGCCGGACGGAGGAGGTCCGTGGGACTTCTCCCAGTCGCAGGACCGAGTGCTGGCGAAGGAGATCTTGAAGGTCAAGAGACCGCTCCTGCTGATCGGGAGCCCGATGTGCAGGATGTTCAGCTCGCTGATGACCTTCAACCGGAAGCACTACAGCAGCGAGGACTGGGAGGCGATGAAGCAGGACGCGATCAGCCATCTCGAGTTCGTGTGCGAGCTCTACCGGTGGCAGGACGATGCTGGACGGTTCTGGCTCCATGAGCATCCGGACCGTGCGACATCATGGCAGGAAGAGTGCGTGAAGGAGTTGCTGAGTAGAGAGAGCACCAAGAGGGTGCGCAGCGACATGTGCCAGTTCGGCATGACGGCGATCGACGTCGACGGCAGCTGGCAGCCGGTGGTCAAGCCTACAGGGTGGGCCACTAACTCCGACCAGATTGCGAAGCAGCTGGCAAGGAGGTGTACGAACAAAGAGGAGCCTCCGTGGCGACAGCATCGCCACGTCGAGCTGGTCGGGAACAAGGCGAAGGGCTGTGAGGTCTACCCGATTGAGTTGGTTCGAGCGATCCTTCATGGGTTGGTGGACGA